AAAGAATATACATTCATTAAGAGTATTCTATCATGTAACCTCCCTATTGCAAAGGAATTGTTTTATGATAAGGAAGAGAGAGAGGTGATTTCATACTGACCTTTAACCTCACTGTCATGTACACTCTGCTTGCTTCCCTGAATTAAGGGAGAAAAAGAGAAAATATTTTTATGACATTGTAAGGAAATGAGGTATACTGGATCAGTGGAATCTTCGGATAGTTAAATTAATATTTCTAAGTTGATTTTAAAGTTATTTTTGAATTAATTCTTTGACAATTGTGTTGCAGAGATGTTCATGCTCATAAATAGGGTATCTATAACACGATATTTTCCTAGTCATTTGGGTGTAGCCTAATGAAACAATTAAATGCCTAATGTACACCAAGATCTTGGCATTTATTATTTCAAATTCTGTTAACAAACATGCAAGTTAGGCTTATCACTTACTGTTTACTGATGAGGAAACAGACACTCAGAGATTAGGTGCTGTCTCTAAAACTAACCAGATAATATATAGAGTACTTGGTTTCAAGTTCAAGTCTGTCTGACTCTTACCTTTATAAGTTTATTCTTTCCACAAGGCTAGTGGTGTTAGAATAATTTTTGCAGTGAAAACTTCCCTTTAAACAAAATTCTAACTAGAAATGTAATGTGTAAAAATATGTAAAATTGGAACTGAGAACACAGTTTGAAAACCACTGCATTACATGTGTTGTCTTTCCCCCCTGTGAAATGTGCATAATACTTTTTAGCAGAAGAAATAGTCTAAAATTACTTTATTATTTTACAAATGTAAAAGTAACATATGTAATTTGTTTTATTCATGATGATGTATTGATTATTTGCAGAAATGAAAGCCTTCAAAAATAGAGGAAAAGGATGAAAACATTTTAGACATTGTTTTTTGGGATAACAAAAAGTTTTACATTCACGCATACACAAGATTTTTTCACCTTTACCTTCTATCAAAGGAGGGGCTCAAATGCAACAAATCATTATTTTTGAACCAACATTGGGTACATATTCTCCCCGTTTCTTGCTTACCTTGCTACTCTGTGGACCTTTACTAGAATCACATTGGGATGAAGAACATACGGAATCCTGACTTGATCGCCTACAAAAAGAGGGAGGAAGCCCGAAGAGGAAAAGTTAAGATATTCTATCATACTCAAAGAGTGCTCTTCTGTTTTAATTTCAGTTGATGACTTCTTTCATTATCTGTAGATACTGAACTACACACTTATAAAACAAAACACACCTTATATTTTGTGTAACGAATGTTCATCTGTCTGGTATTGGTGGAGTCTGTTGGGGAACCTCAGGAATTAAGATTTATTGCTGCCTGAATCTGAGAAATAAAAATCTGTCCTGTCCTACTGCTAAGGCTAGATTTAATCCCAGAGGCTCTGACACTGGAGTTGTAGGAGTGTGGTGGGGATCCTGAGTAACGTGGCTAACTTTCACTCTACAGTTGCCAGTTCTGGCCAGGTCCTGACTCTGTGGTGCTCTGCTAGAATGAGCTGAAAAGTGGCTTTGGGTTCTGGGGCAAACATATACGGAAACAAGTCCTCAAAATAGTCTTAGAATAAGGAAACTTCAAGTCAAGGGATAGAGAAGGTGTTATAGTCTGTCTCATTGCTGGGTGACCCAAAACTAGCATAGAAGCTTTTGATTTCTCACCAGAGATGTATTTATCATGGCCAATTGACTGAAAATCAGAACTCTCAAGCAAATACAAGGAGAAAAAATACCTTTTCTTAAATATTTAAATAACAATCTCCTGCTCTCTAAGAAATGGATGGAGATTACTCAGTTGTAGTGGATGTCATATGAGACCTGCTGCCATATGATCTTTCTTATTGGCCCTGCAAGTCCTTCCTTCTGCTTCACATCAGTGCTCAGACTTTGATTTTGGCTACAAGTGTGGTCAACTGAGCATTTTCCATCTCAGGGTGCTGTGAGACTGACAAGTAAGGGAAATTAGACCCCAATACAGCAAATTAGATCCCTGGGGACCACCTACCTATAAAAGACAGTGACAGGGAAGAAAGCTGAAACCAAATAGTCTACCCAACTTATTTCTTTGTTTCAGTTATACCTTCCTCAATGCTGGAATGAGGAGAACTCTTTTTGTATTACCCACGTAAGATCCAGACAGTATTTCTTGATCAGTAAGTACTGAGTTACCTTGCACATTCAGGGGTACGAAAGAGGAATAGTATGTCATTAATTCTAAAGCGTTTGGGATCCAAGTCAAGGTCTGCAGTGAAGCAGTCTTCAGGTCTGTACCTGGAAAGAGGCATACATTTACAAATTAGGTAACTTACATTACTTATATATCACATGCAGAGCCGATCAACTCCTAAAATACTGATATCATCAAACATGAAGAGAAAACCAAGAGGTGTAGAGTTTGAACACATCGTCCTTAATAAGGCGCTGTATAACAGCATGATCATTTAGTGTCTTTTAATTCAACTAACTGGTCTCCCTTCCTACTTATAAGTCAGAGAGTGGGCTTATATAACCTCCTGGAGGTTTCATACAGTTTAAAGAATAAAATTCCACTCTTTAAATAAGTGGAGTGGCAAATTTGAATAAAATATGGTTACCGCCATTAAGGAACTTAGAACTGAGTGGAGAAGACAGGCAAGTAATTCAGTGATCACACTACTCTTGTCGCTCGAGCCTTCCATTGACCCAGATTCCGAAGAACCAAACACCTTCCTAGGCAGTTTCCTGGGAGCACAGTGATGATTCCTAATCACCTGCACCGGCCCTTCATGCTTGACACTTAATGACACACTAAACATTCCTTATAGCAAATAGACATTGTACAAGATGTTCCTTTTTTGTTTTGTTTTGTTTAATCACCTTTGCTAATTTAGACTGATGAGTGATGAAGGAACCTCCTGGGGGTGGGGGGTGAACCAAGTTTAAAAGATGAGTCTGTTGAATTCAAACTTTTTAGGTATTTCTGCTCTGCAGATGAGCATATGGTGAAATGGATTATTACTTAGCAAGAAAAAATTTTTATTTTGGACCCAAAAAAGCTTTGCACAAGAAAGAAGAGCTATTTCTCCTGACTGATGAAGGGATCTTAGGCAAAGTTTGAGGCAGAGGTAGAGATGGCCTCTGCTCTGAATATGGTATGGATTAGTAGTCTGCCATGATAGGAATTAGTAGTCCACTGGAGCTAAAACTGACCTACACCATGAATATGGAAACCATCTTTTACTTTAGAAATGTTAAAGCTGGGCCTAAGACTCTAAATTATGTTTTGCAAAACACCCCAGTAATTCTAAATCAATTGTTTTATATAATCATCTTCTTATAAGAAAGGCACTATATATGACCCATTATAGTCAGTCATTTTTCTGTGATTGGAAGTTGAATTTGCGTGCATCCCTTGGCAAAACACCTAGCACTTCAACAAGGAGGATCTTCATCTTTAAATTGGAAATATTCTCAGAGTGGCTTCCCCTGCATTAGGCTGTGTCATCAGGACTATGATCTTTGCTTTCTTTGTCTATCCGATTACCCTTAGTAGTACATCATGCACAAGCTGACATCTACAGTGTGAGAACTATATTAATAAAAGGGTGAGAAATTGTGCAGTATTTATTGGTAAAGGTATCAAATGACAAGTACACAGTCTGTGAGAAAAGCCTCAGGGCAAGGGTTGAAGAGAAGAAACAGAAGGATGACAGGAATTCTGGGAGTAGGGACCAAGATAACATGGGCTGAGGTACAGAGGGAGGGATCTGCAGAAACATCTACTTCAACTAGAGGTTTAAATAAGAATAAATCCAGGGTCCAAACAACAAAGGGGCACATCCTCTCAAAAGTTAGTTAAAAGTAAAGAGTCAGACCTAGATTGGAAAGGGGCATGGAACCAGCCAGGTAGACCAGGCAGACATAAGGCACTGCAACTAGAGAAGCAGAGATTTCTTTGGCATTATTGTCTTTTCCCTTGTCCTCTCCCACTCTCTTCTACCCTTCTTTATACCTCTTCCCTCCTTCAAAATTCTTAGATTTGATATTATTGTTATTCATTCATCAAGGTTCTTGATCACTTTGTACCTCAAAATACAGTATTACAAAACTTTTGACATTGGTATTCACACAAGGCCCTTCCTTTCTAGCTCCACTGCACAACTGTGGAGAGCTTATTATTTGCAATCCATCCATAGCAAATAATACAATGTTACATGATTTCCTTTACAACCAACGGTAAGGACATTTAAGAATGGATGTCAGGGGCAGGGTAACATTTTTGGCCATGGTATGGAGAAAATCTAATTGATTGAGATTTAGAATTGCAAACGCCACGCACTTGTTAGCATTGACCTATAATGAATTGGATGTGTTGGAGTGATGAACGAGAAGAAGACCCTATCTGGAATGCCTCTAACCATTTGACTGAGTAGATGGTGGTGTCACTGGGAATACAGGAAGAGGAGATGTTTGGGGGGAGTGTAGGCCAGGACAAAGGTTTGGGAATGTGAGGCTTTAAGGGTCTTAGTGGCAATCCAGATGAAAATTGCCAGATATATATGTTTGAAGCTCTGGGGAGATTAGAGTTTAAAATTATTATATATTTTAAGTATTTGTTGAAGTTATGAATTTGGACAAGATCACACATGAAGCATGTACTAGAGTGAGAAGAGTAAAAGTCAAAGCACATGAGAATACAAACACTTAAGGCTCACCTTATTCCCATTATTCTGGGATTTAGACACTTAGAACAGAATCTCTTCATGATTATAACCTCCAGGAAACTCATCCTTGACAGTTAGTACCACTTTTATTTATTGCTTTTGTTTGTTTGTTTGCTTATTTAGTATTGAATGTTACTTGGCTCTTCTGCAGTATAACTTATGTTGCTTACGGGGAAGAGGCAACTTACAGTTCTTTGACAGTAGATGTTACAAAATTCCATAAGATGATTGCACCATTTAAGGTTCCAGCAGCTATCAAATTATATCCTTCTACTTGTAATAAATCAATGCAGTTCACTTCTCTACTAACAGCAGTATTCTGAAGAAGGAAGCAGAGTCACTGGCCATAATGAACACAGTATCTAAGCACAGTAAAAATGCTATGTGTGCATTTGTTAGTCTATCATGAACTGAATATAAAATGTCTTATGGTTTTCAAAAAATTTTGTTAAAGTATAGTTGACATACAATATTATATTAGTTTCAGGTGTACAACACAGTGATTTGAAATTTATATACTCTACAATGTAATCACCATAAATCTGAAAATCATGTGTCACTGGGCAAATTATTATGATATATTCCTCTGCTGAACATTATGTTTCCATGACTTACTTATTTTATAAATAGAAGTTTGTACCTCTTATTTACCTTCACCTTTTCCACCCATCCCCCACCCCCCTCTCCTCTGGCAATCATCAGTTTATTCTCTACATACCTTTGTTCTCTACATCTATGAATCTGTTCATGTTCTATTTTGTTCGTTCATTTGTTTTTTTCAGATTCCACATATAAGTGAAATCACATGATATTTGCTTTTCTCTGGCTTATTTCATTTAGCATTTAACATTTCACTCTTTCTGAAATATGTCAGACAGGATTGACCTCTTGGTTCATTCATGTTGTCACAAATGACAAGATTTCATTCTTTTTTTATAGTTGAGTAATATTTCATTATATATATTATATACATTTACATATATTTACATATCAATCTCTCTTCTAAGAATCTATCCCAAAGATAATATTAAAAAATTTGAAATCACATATGCACAGCCTATTTGTTAAAACACGATTTATAATTGGAAAAGGTTGAACACAGCTCAAATATCCACCCACAGGGGACCAGTTGAATAAATTATAGTCTCTCCACACAAATGAATCACCACAGAACTCCCCAAAAGAAGATAGAATATCTGTAAATCCATATTCATAGCCACAATAGCCAAAAGCAACCCAAGTGTCCATTGATGGATAATAAAGTATATATGTACAATGGAATACTATTCAGCCTTTAAAAGGAAAGAAATTTTGACACATGCTGCAACATAAATGAACCTTGAGGATATTATGCTAAGCAAAGACACAAAGGGACAGATACCATATAATTCTGCTTATATGAGGTGTCTAGGGTGGTCAAATTCATACAGAAAAAAAGTCGGATGGTGGTTGCCAGGGGCTGGGGGAGGATAAAAGATTCTTTATTGTTTAGGTATAGAGTTTTGGTTTTGCAAAGTAAAAAGAGTTCTATGAGTGGTGAGGGTTGCCTTCACCACAATGTGAATGTACTTAAGTACCACTGAATTATACACTTAAAAATTGTAAATATGGTAAAATATGTTAGGAGTTTTTTCATCAAAATTTAAAAAAAGATGATATCTATATAATGCTTATAATAATCTCCAGAATGTATTATTAAATAAAATAAGCAAAGAATATAAAAATGTGTATAGCATCCTGCCATTTGTTTAAGAAAGGGTGAGAGGATACAAATAAGGATAAGAATTTAATTTTATTTTTGAAACACAACACCAGAAACATAAATCAAAACTCAAAAACAAAAGGTAAATTATAGGTTAGGGAGGAAATGGTGTAAGAGACAGGAATAAAAGAATAGACTTTGTTTTGTAGATTTAATTTTGGAACTATATAAATGTTTTACATAATAATTAGACAAGATTAAAATTAAAAAAAATAATAAATTAAAAAATAAAAGAAATAAACAGCTGTGTATAGAGTTGTTGGCACAAGAAATTATTTCAAGTAATTTTAAAACAGTAATTTAACTGCATGTTTCAAATGGTATGTATTCTAAGGACAAAAAATTGTAAAGAAAAAATATCTTGAGCTGTTTCAATGATCATATTTCATATTGTTTTTCTGAAACTATAATGTAACAAACTATAATATACTGTAGCACAATACAATATGGTGTAAAAATCTTATATGTTGTATGTTGTATAAATAATAGGACAAAGCAAATAAGTAATTATGTTAATGTGGTTAGGAACAAAATTTTTCTGTGAGAAAAATATATAATAAAATTGGTAAAAGTCATGTTATCTTAAATTTGAATGGGAATATCAATTTGATTAACAATATATTTTCTCTTAAATTGTTTTCCTTGCTCTGTTCATTGTAAAGTTCTAAAAACAAGGATCAGACTAGTGGCTATGGGCATCTCTAAAACTCAGATTGTAGTTTTGTAACACTATTTCCTACTAAAAAGAACTAGCATTTCTTGGAGAAATGGTGGATTCTAAATCTTGAACAAGAAATGTACAAGGCGAGTCTGAAAGGTATTCAGAACTACTGGAGTCATAGCAAAAACCTCTGGAGCCTGAGAAGGGTCCAGCTAGGTTGAGAAGGAATAATATGAACATCAATCAATAATAATAACGAATACAATTCGCTGAAACATATAAAGAATATTTAAATTGTGAGTTTATAATTATACTAAAGAAATTAGTAAAATTCACTGACCACCTTAGGAGAATGTTAAGAAACCTATTCCTTATTTTGAAAACTGATAAATATAGGAAAAGAATCAGCTATTTTGATTGTCTATATAAACTGTACCTCAGTGTAACCAAATAGTTGATAAAAGTTTTCTTTAAAGACATATTCCAGCTAATAAATGAGTCATAATGGTAGAATGGCAATTTTGAATGAAATAATAGACCTACGTAGTGATCGCCAACGGCTATGATATCCCAAAACGATAACCAGTCATTAAGTGAATCTCGATGGAAGTATATGGCACCATGTACTATGGTGACTTCCAGCTACTATGGAGCCTTATTAAAACAAACAAAAAAATCAAAGCTGCATGCAATTAAGCCATCAGATATTACTACCAGATTAAAAGAAGCAGAGAAAAACTTCTTAAGTTACACTACAAACGTGCAATCAGCAAAATCCAAAAAATGGGAAAGTGTGGCACCAGCTGTCCAGAATCTTCAATAAATAAATTAGAAGGCAAAAAAGAGGGATGGAAAGATATCTATAGATTTAAAAAGGATTTAAGAAATTTATCAACCAAATGCAACAAATGGACCTTGTTTGGATTCTGATTGAAACAAGCAAACTGTAAAAAAAATAATATGAGTAAATTTGGAAAATTTAAACAGAGTGAATATGTAATTATTACTAATAACTTCTTATAAATTATTTTAGAAAATATTTGAGAAAATAATGGTATCATCATTTTTCGAGTTATTCTTTAGAGATTCATACCAAAATATTTGGGAATAAAATGACTAAATATATGGCATTTGCTTCAAAATAATCTATTGTCGGTGTTTGTGGGAAAGTAGTTCAAATAAAAAGGAATAAGTTTGGCCATGCGTAGGTAATTTATGAAGCTAAGTGATAGGACATTGAAGTTCATTGTATTATTTTTTCTACTTTTACATATGTTTGTAATGTTCCATAATAAAAAGGAAAAAATCAAGAAATAAAACTTACATTAACATGTTGAGGAACGTTTTTCTCAACTATCAACTTGACATCTGGGAAAGGAAGAGCCACGGGCCTATCTTTAGTGGATGTCTTCAGGTGCACAATATGATTCCTGTCTTGTAGGACAGGCACGACATCAGGCAGCTCCCATATCACCATGAGATAAATATCATCTTCCTTACCCTTTGATGGAAATCCAATTGATGAAAAACTCAATTAACTATTTTATTTTGAGCTACCGTAAAGATATAGAGTAATATAGAACATTGAACATACAAGCGGAGCAATGGGGTTTGAAGTTTGGGGGGAAAAGAGTTATTATGAAGCTTGTTTCCCTCTGGGCTGAATAAAAGCCTGGGGACCAGGGTGGGAAAAAGTCCTAGGGTGAGATTTGGACATGGTGGTTCATCTGCAAATATGCTTAAACCCCGAGAGATGCGTGAGTGGACAGGGCAATGCTTGGCATGGTATATATGCCTAGTGTCCCTTGCCTCCATGTAGTTGAGGAGTAGCTGAACAGGTGGACTAAGTTTTCTGTACTTTTGAAATCAGGAAATTATAAAAAGAATAGAGAGCAGAAAGGCTTACTGCTGGTGCCTCCACAGGGGACTGCTAAATTTCTAGCCCTCAGGGACAACATAGCTGTATATCTCACCCTCTTAGGACAGTCACCTCCTGCATTTTTTTGGTAACCAAACCTCCATGGGCAGAAAAAGAAATGTCACTAGGGGTACCTAGCATCTACACAGATGAAGAAAAAAAAACATGCATAACAGAGCCCAGACTAACCAGAACTTCCAGGAAGTATGATAACTTGAGCAAACTGAAGAATGCTTAAGAAAGTTTGAAACAAATAAAAAATAAAACCAAACCATAATCTTCAAATTTAAGAATTTGTTGATGAGCTGAAAGAAATTACTTCCGGTTTGAGACTTGAACTAGTATCCTAGAAGTAGAGAAAGTCTTTCAAAATAGTCAGAAAAACTTTTTAGTTTTACTTCTTTTTAGAAGTAGAAAACGTAAGGGAAAATATAAGACATTTGGAGGATAGATTCCGAAGACCCAATATGGAAATAGCATGTATTTCTGAATTGGAAAAAGAAACAGAGGCAGAAGAGACACTTAATAAACAAATAATAAATTAAAAATTCCCTGAGCTGGAAAAAATATGCAGATTGAAAAGTCTCCTGCAAAATTGATGAGAAAAGATGTACACAGGAGCACAGACTTCAAACTTCGAGGGAAAGATAACATCTTCTAAGTTTGCAGAGAGAGAGAGTTATTTACAAAGAAAAAAAGAGTCAGACCAACATTGAACTGTTCATTGGCAACAATGTCACTTCAGGATTGTGAAGTGACACACAGACTTCTGAACAAAAAGTCCTATAACTCAAGAATGCCAAAATATTTTCCAAGAGTTGGTTGGTACCAATTTACACCAACACTAGCCGTGTATGAGCACTCCTTTGTTCCATAGCGTTAAAACAGTATTATCAGACTTATTTCTTTAAACCAATCTATTGAGTATATTATATCTATCATAATTCTAATTTCTCTGATTACTAATGAGGTTTAGCAACTTTTCATGTGTTTATCGGCCATCTAGGTGTTCTGTTTTATGAAGTGCCTATCTTGTTTCATTTTCTATTGAACTATTTACCTTATTTATTATTGAGGACTTTGGATACTAATCCATTGGTTATTATGTGTCAAAAATATCTCCTTTAACTCTACTCTTGCCTTTTTACTCTCATTACGGTAATTTTTGATGAAGAAAAGTTATTAGTTTAGTATAATCAAATATATCCACTTGTTCCTTTATAATCTGTGATTTTTGAGTCTTATTTAAGATATTTCTTTCTCCTGAGTTCATAAAGACAATCTCCTATATTAACTGTAAAACCCATATTATTTTGTCTTTCAATTAATATCTTGAAGTAATTAATACAGCAGAAATAGATAAATGGGAGACCAAAATTTAGAGGCTTTTTTTAATACGGATGTCTAGTTGCTCCAAAACTATTTATAGGAAATTATATTCTTGCCACACAAACCTGCTATGTCACTCCTGCCGTGTGCTTTTGTTTTGTCACTCTAATTACTTCTTTATGCTCAAACCTTGCTGTTTTGTTTCCTTGTGCACTTAGAATTATTAAGACTCTGGTCTGAGATAAAGGTGCCTCCGTCCAGATTGGAGATGTTTGTTTCTGTCAGGTGGAGGATGGAACTACCACCTAAAACTGAGTCATAGTTAGATTCCCTTGACCACCTAGACACTGACAATCTAGTTTGCAAATGCACGTGAGACCTATCTGTAGTCACAGTTTCTCAGGGACACGGTTTTGTATCATTTCGTTTTGTTTTCCTACTCTTCTTCCTTCTTTCCTCCTTGGCTCAGCGTGAGGGCAGCCTTTCCTGCATGCCACCAGGAGGCTGGCTTCTTTCTTTCTGGTTCACCTTTACCTTGAGAGTGAAACTTTTGGGTACTGCATACCGTGGACAGGGCATTAAACACCTTGCCTTGGTCAAAACATGGGCCTTGATTTCTTTGGCCCTTCTGATCTGCTGAGTCTCCAAAATTGAACCCCGTGGTGTTTTGGAAAAGGACGAAAGTCGTAGTGGTGTTTTGGTTCCTAATTTATCTCTCTCATTCTCCACTTTCACTAAAGTTTGGTTATGCTGTTTACTTGCTATATTGTCAGCTCTTTAACACTAGTTAAGAGATTTAGAAAATGTTCTATCAAGAACTTTCCATTGTTTTCAGTGGAAGATTGGTGTAATCTGGTTCATTAATACCTTATTTTCCATAGAATCCTAGGGTTTGAAAAAATACCTAGCATACGTGGAGTGCACAAAATGTTTCTTGAATTGTGCTGAATTTAATTGGAAATCAGTGAAAAGAGAAATCTTCCCTGACTCCTATCGTAGGCTGGGCACCACCCACCACCATAAATTCGTGTAGCTCTTTGTTCAATCGTAACACTTGTAATAGGTGCGTCAATATCAGTCCTTCTTATTAAATTGTAAGTTTCATGGTGAAAAGGAAGATATATTTCTGTTTCATGGTAAACGTTTGGTAAATGCTCTTTAAAAAATGAGTGAATGAGAGTATTCTAGAAAATAAGTATGGAAATCAAACCACATTTTATTTTAAATAGGCAAATAATAATAGTAAGTAATAAGTAAATAATAAGAGGTTGCTACTAATATATACTAATAAGTAAGTGTGTTTTCAACATTATCCCCATTGTAAAGCTCCCCCCCGACCAACATTAATTAAAATTCCCTATAATACCCATATATTTCCTATTGTATACCTCACAAGAGGTTTCTTATATTTCTTTATTCTTTTAATCTTTAATAAGCACCTACTTTGGGCAGAACAAGAATACAAATATGAATGAAAGGTTTTCAGTCCTCATCAAATTCAATCAGTAGATTTCAGAGACATGGAGAACCAGAACAATCACAGAGAAAAGTGCTACAGTAGAAGTAAGAACAGTTTTGATGTGGGGACAGCACCATGCCGCTCTTGGCAGTCATTAAGAAAAGAGCGTTTGTAACAACAGACAGTATCTGTTAGGAAGGGCATCTCAATGGCCAATTGCACTAACCTAAACAAGAGAAATCCAAACACTATGATTTAGAGGGTATTATCAAGCAATTCCTTTCTACAGTGCCCTTTGGGATTGCTCAGATAACACGGAAGAGTTTATTGAATCAGGGAAGGTTTTCATTCATTTTTCTCCAGCAGCAGGGCCATCGGTCATCTTCATCAGTGCTGGTACATCATGATCACTACTGTAACCTGAGGCTTTTTTTCTGAGCTTAGCTTTCGAAATGGGAATAATAACTATATATTTCAAAAGGATGATAATAATAATAATAATAATAATAATAATAATTAAGGAATTTATTACAGGAGGCACAAGTTATACATAGGTATCTGTGGTACAAGGTAGCAGAAATAGTCACTCAGTGGCCAGGATAAATGATCTAGCCTTCATTTTAAATATAAAGAAGGCATTAGCATTCTTAGGTGGCAGTAGACACACATGAGAAATATAAATTAGCCTACCTCAAACCTTCCAACACAGCCTGAGCAAACTGCATCATTAACGTTAAAGTAAACATAGCAATTTTGCTGACAAACTGAAAAAGTGACCTGAGTGTCCCTGAATGCGTTAAAGGTCACAAGGGACAGAGAGGAGTCATTGTTCCTTGGGGAGAGCTCTGCCAGTGAACTAGCCCCCGTGAAGGTATGACAGTGTCGAGGTGGCACCTGTGTGCAAACTTAACCTTTCTGATGCCCACTCTCGAGGACCTGTGGGTGGATGCTGCGCTGAGCAGCTCTTCCTTTCTGCTCTTTGCTTGGACCTGTGCTAACAAGGACTGTCATACTAAGGTTGGGGACGAACACCATGGATGCAGCTGGCTGCCTGAGAAGAGCAGGCGCAGTCAAATATAAGAAAGGGGCTGCAAACCTGGATCATTTTGATCCTCCCGTTGCGCTCCAAGGCCAGGACCAAGTGCTGGTGCTTCTGCGCCTTCAGGAAAATCAGGCGTTTCAGCCAGTGCTCCTCCTCCTTCCAGTCCTTGCCCTCCGGCAGCACCTTCATCTCCTGGCCGCTGCCAAAGTCCCAGATTTTCACTGTTCCTGAGCACACAGGGGAAAGACTTGGTCCGTGAAAATAATTTTTAGAGAGCTTGGCTTTTATCTCAGACAAAATTGATCTAATGGAAAGCTTCCTCCCAACGATTTATCCTATATTTATTTCCTCCTGACATGTGAGTCTCCCTAGCCTTGCGGTGCATGAAATAGATTTCTTTGTGCCTTGCTTTGTCACAGGCTGATTAAAAACTCAACAGGACAGGACAACGTCTTGAAATTTGGAACAGTGTTCTCTGAAACTCTCAGAGTCTCCTGTTAGAGATTTCTGTCTTAAGTGAATCTTTTTTGCTTTTATTCTCCCATTGCCTTCCTGTTTGCTAAATACTCCCCAATACCTTTCTGTCCGTATATCTAATATCATGTCACAATTATCATTAGTAGTGAAAGATCATTGCAATAATGTCACAGTTCTGAAGGTGCTGTCGTCATGTTTTAGGACTTTAGTTCTCATTGAATAATAAAAGTTTTAAGAGAATCCCAGCAGATAGAAAACTATCAAGTTCTAAAGTGTTGGTCACATGGGAAGGGAATATAAAAGGAGTGTTGAGCTTCTTTTTACATTTGAAATCATAATTGCTTTTTAGTTTACTTCCTTCATTTAATTTAGGGGATCTTGATGAGGGGGCCGGGGGCGGTGATAATCAGTGCTGTTAAATGCCTATTTCTAGGTTAATACTCAGTGTAAAGAATTGTCTTCCAACATGGGTTTTTATGGTGCTCGCCTCAAGGTTAGATCCAGTGGACTGCCCCTCACAGCACTTCACCTCTCCTCCCTTAACTGTCAATATTTAAAAGAACTCTAGACTCTAGCACTAACAAAATAAGACGTTACTGGCCTGCATGCAAATAGTACCATCTCAGTCATATTGAACTGCTTACTGCTTATGTCTGCTGATGGTTGTGTACATTGCTCAGAATTTCTAATGCGACTAATTTTCACACGTTTGCAGGGTGTGCTTCTTGAGCAGCGGGACCGCTTTCTTAAGAACTGTCTTACAGGAAGAGCAGCTGCATTTATTCACACTCCATCAACTCAGCAGTCACGATTTTATTTTATGTGTATTATCTGCTCACACTTGTAAAAATTAGACTTTTATATCAGGATGTCCACTAAATCCATCAATTGGTTTACAAGCCAGAATTTATTTGGTAAGTATGTCCCTAGAATAAATGTCTTCTGCGTGTTGCATGCAGTCGGTCTAGGTAAAGCAGTTCTTTCCTGGGAGTTCGGAACAAGATGAGGTGGAAAGGGAGGCAGGCTGCAGCTCCCTTGTTCCTGGAAGTTCCATGTGGTGCTCCACAGCCTGAGGAATATCAAACAGCACAGCACGACCTGAGCCTGACATCCTCTCAGGTGTGCATGGCACAGGCCCCAACAAGCTTACACATAGGAGCAGGTCCAATGGAGAATTCTAAGTGTTATGTGATAAGGTTGGTGGATATTTTATCTCTCTCCCCCAAATCTACTGTCAATAAAAATATTATCAGCAAACACTGAAAACATAATGTCTACCTCTTAGCTGATGGTACCCCAAAGTAGGACAGGATGAGTCAGTGCAACACAGATAAGTCCCGCCAAAGATGGAAGGAGACCATATATGTGAAAGATTTTGCAAATTGTAAAGCAACTTTGTAAGTATAATGTAAGGTATTGACTATTTTGAACATAAGTATCAGGACATTAATACCCGTTTAGAGAAGAATTTGTTACTCTTTAGTCAGGCGCTGCAACCTCCCTGGCATGGTTACATATTCCAGCCTGATTCCTGCTCTCCCAGTCACTCAGACAATGAGCTCCTAGAACAAACTCTCAGAGCACTAAAGCAGGGAAGCCATATTCTCACCATTATATGCTCCTGTGGCAAAAAGAAATCCGCTTTCATCAATAGCTGCAGAAGTTAGTTCCACATTGAAGCCATGAGGGTCTAAAATCTGGTATATTTGGAGGCCAGTCTCAAGTTCCCAAACCTGTAGGTAAGAACAACAAAAAAATCAAATAATCCATATACCCTTTGGTTCTCATCAAAATTTCATAATATTCAAAACAGCTTCATAACTGGTACTATGCACAGCTAACGCCTTTCCCAACATTCTTCCCTGAGTTTGATTTGACCACAGAAAGTTCTAAGATGCATTGGTACCTGATAGTGAGTGACTGTGCTACCTTGGAGTGTGTCTGCTGTGTGTGTAGGTGGCTGAGACAGGCAGTGACTCTATTCCAAGAAGTCCCTGGCTATAGAGGAATTAGTTAATTGCTACTGTAAGCACAAAGCAAAATAGAAATGTAACAGTTATGAATTCAGCAAAAAACAAATTGGATTTTTTTCCTCCGGACACTCATCCACATTAGCTGGGGCCTCTGGACAGAATCTGTGATTAACAGCATGGAATATGAGAGAACCTTGAAGAAGGAGCTCATTGACCTTTCTGAGGAGTGTTCTGATTAGGGAGATGGGTCCAGCTCCAGAAAGAAGAGTGGGGAGAGAGGGAGAAGGGAGAGGGGGAGAGATCAGAGAAGGCCGCCTGTGTAATCAGGCTGGGTGGAATAGAAAATCCAGAAACATGTCAAGACTCATCATTATCTCCCTTTGGAAACACAGTAGAGACTTTAGTTCTGCACCCCCACTCCCTTGCCCCCAGTTTGAATCTCTCCTTCTTTATGTTCACAGGTAAATTAGACTGCCACTGAGTAATAAAGTGGAAGTGGCAAGACAGCATGAATTTGGTTGCCTTCAAGTTATGTGGGAATGGGGGAAGCTTAAGCAAAGGGCCAGAAGTGGGAAGGTGCATTACTCCTCCAGGGAGCTGAAAGAAAGTTGGGATGAAAGAGGGATAGTGGGAGGAGCTGATGAAAGAGTCTGGAGGCCAGGTAAGAAATGGCCTCCTTCCACTGGGAAATGATAGAGATGGTCCAGAGGCCATGCTCTGAACCTTCTGTGTGCCTCTCGGTATAGACAGAGTCCTTACAGGAGAAAGAGGAATGTGTGTCACTGCATGAACAAGCTTCAGAGGTCACCTGGCCTGATTTAACCATCCTTCTTCAACCAATCGGATATGGAGGCTCGCCTAGGTGTCGTCCTCCCTCTCTCACCACAAGGAAGACTTTATCCCCTTAAGAGGTCGTATTGCATGAAAGCAGGACAGGTTTGTTTTAATTTCCCTCTACGTATTCTGTAGGCATTACCAGAAATAGTGATAACTGACCGAACTCAAGAGATTTTGGCCTGAGAAATCTCTAGCAGATATGCAGAGAAGGTCAAAGATTGAGAGGGGATGTGAAGGGTTTCCAGAGGTATGCTCTCTACTTCTCTATGTCTCCTTTGGGAGGGCATGCATGACATAAAAGGATAAACACTTGAAGCAAGCGGCCATCACGGCTAGATGACTGTAGTGGTTGCAATTAGATGCCATTAGGACGGCCAGGCACCCTGGCCTCTAGGGCACACCGTAATGGCAGTGCCAGAGGAATGCAGAGGAAAGGACATGGGTATTCACTTCAGACAAACCTTGGTTTGTATCCCATTCCTGATGGTTACTAGTTATATGATCTGAAGCAAGTTGCTTCATCTCTCTGAGTCCTAGTTTGCTAACTGTTGAAATGAAACTCCATCTGTCCACAGACCAATTGTGAGGATTAAATAGGATCATGGATTTAAGGCACTTGGCACATATCCTACATATCCTACACTTATATCAGGGTTACCGAAAACATCTATCAATTTCTTTTCCTTCCTTCTTAACATACCCTCTTCTCATAGCGTAGTTAAAAAAAATACGTGTATATGTATGTATATGACTAGTTCTTACTCCTTGATATAGTTTCTTTAAAATTCCTATTTTGATAGTAACAACAATAGCCCTTTTTTATTTAGTTGAGGATGTGACTTAATACTGAGCAGTCTGAGCTGGCTTTAAATACTTGTTTTCCATGTGTTTGTGAAAGCTTAAAAATAGCTCGAATGTAGGGTCTCATCATCTGTGCCATTAAATTTACTTAATCACTCAAAGACTTACCAGTAAGAAGAGAAAATTCTATCTGTTTCACCTCTTTCTTCCTGAAGAGTCAATATGTACTTACCTTAATTATGGATTCGGAACAGATTGTAAGTACTTGGTGAAAATATTTGTTGTAAAGCATGACATTGATTTCTCGTTCATGAGTGTGAGGAACCTGTTTTGTATCCTGTATCATCTTAGTCAATGGATACATGTCAATAACACTAGATCCTGGAACAGAAATAAGAATCTCATAAATACCCAATATTAGAAGTTTTGAATCACAAAAGATTTTACTTAACCAGTTGTGTTTGGAAACAGCCAATCAGTGAGATTAGTAATATCAATGCCTAAAAACTCTAATGAGTCTACGGCCATGCTACCCTGAACATGCCCGATCTCATATGATCTCGGACTCTAAACAGGGTCAGGCCTGGTTAGTACTTGGATGGGAGATCGCCTAGGAAGACCAGGTGCTGTAGGTGTAAAATATATATATATATAAAAAGGATTGTGAGCTGACAAGGTCCTTGCAATCTGTGAGGTCAACCAAAGATTGCCTCGCCTAAAAAAAAAATAAATAAGAAAAAAACTCTAATGAGATGAAAATATATTAATTTACTTGAAAACAATTTGGATAAATAAAGCAAATGTGATTCACCCAGAGAAAAGCGTTCATTTTAGGCTTTATTAATTTTCAAGTGCATTGGGATTTCACTGATATCCTCTTTTCGGTAATCCCTATTTTCTAATTTTCTATCATCTACTTTCCCCCTTTTTAGAGGGCCTACTGCACATACCCCCACCTGCTGTAGAGTAATAATAGAGATGTCAGCTTTTTACTGAAGGTGAGCTGCCATTTAGTGATTGGAGTTTATTGTTAGAGAGCTCTTTTCAACCAACAGGTGATAAAGCACATTGTAAATGTGGTCTTATTAAATGTAACCAATGAGAATGATTGAAAGCCAGTGCTTGCAACGTTAACATTAAATAAGATTATTTTCCAAATCATCCTAGTGAGGTAGATGAAGAGCAGGTATTTCTACTTGCATTCTTCTGAGAATGTTTGGTTTGATTTTACAGTAATAGCGTAATCTGCAAGTATGATTGAACTCACAAAATCAACTACGTGTCCTGGTTAAGTTTAACATCTGGAAATTTATGTATGTATGTCTATATGTATGTATTTATTTTTAGGTGAGGCAACCCTTGGTTGACCTCACAGACTGCAAGGACCTTACCAGCTTACAATCCCTTATTTTTTTATTTTTTACGCCTACAGCACCTGGTCTTCCTAAGTCGTCTCCTATCCAAGTACTAACCAGGCCCGACCCTGCTTAGCTTCCGAGATCAGACGGGATTGGGCTTGTTCAGGGTGGCATGGCTGTAGATAACATCTGGAAATTTAAATAAGAATCCCAGAGCATCCCGTAGCACAAACGAAAATGAAACCTCTTCTCTATTTTTGATGTGGATTTTTTCCCCTTTGCATTGAGTTTCTTAAGTCTCTTCTTCAAAGAAATTTAAACTTTAGGCAAACTTTTAGCTGAAGTTATTAAGTACTTTCTTAAGGTGTTTAATTTTTAGGTTAAATTTATTCAAATGTAAAGAAGAACTGTTAGGCTCTTCTGGGATTACTTTTCAATTCAAATATCTCAATATGGAACCATGAGAAATGTGGTAACTAGCCAATCAAATAACACTTGAAACTTCTTGGTAAACCCTTTAACATTATATTGACTGCGACTAACTTTACTCAGAACCGAAATCAACAACTCTAGATATGCTTACAAACAGATGATTACCCTCTGCATTTTTTTGCTCACTATATGGAAACAGTGCAGTGCCAAGAAAGAATGTGGGTTCAGGGGTCAGAAGCTTTGGGATTGAATCCCAGCTCGGAGTTTCAACCTTCAGTTCTTCTACTAGTCAGTTCAACTGTTCGATATTCAGTTTCATTATTTACAAAATAGGATAAATAATAATTCCTACCTCACGTGGTGATTGTGAAGATCAAATGAAATGAAATACATGAAAGCATTTTGTAAAAGAACTGCACACGGGGGAGAAAAAAATGGCGTAGGTGACAGAGGCTCTGTTCATCCCTCTTGTGACCAAATCAAAGTTGTGAGAGAAACAAGGAGCAAACAGCAAGAAAAGTCACCTGGGATCTAGATGAATAAGCCCGACAACTAGGGAGAGAAATAAGCAACAGGAAGAGGTAAGAGAGGGAGAGGTCGTGAGGCTGCCAGGTCCCAAGTGGCTGACTGGGACAGAGGCTGTCGCAGCTGCAGACACCTCTTAAAGGGGCCACGTCAGCAAGTGGACTTTCATGGTGATGGACATGGACCTGGACCTGCTTGCTCTGAGCACCAGTGCCAGGTTGGCTGCGCAGGGGCACCAGGGACTTACAGGGGTCACTGAGTTGTCAGAGGGAGGGCCAGAGGATAGGGTCACTCCCCAGCAGAAGTGCCGGCAGTATCTATTGTTCCTCTGTTGAGCCCCCTCCCCCTCCCAGTGTGTAGATGCAGAACTGCCATAGCTGAGACATCATCAAACTGGATAACAGAGGTCACTTCGCCCAGAGGATTCCCTGAAACTCTGCCTCCCCCAACTCACGGCCCCACCCAAGCCACACCCAGATGTGTCCTTGGTGAGTAAGGTCCTCCTTGCTGAGCAGCACCTAGACTCACACTGGAGACAACTGTTCTCAGTTTCTGGTGTGGCCTTTTGAGGCAACTATAAGCACAGCATCTGTGGATTGCTTGCTGAATCTTAACAGGTGGCCCTGGAGGGGCACAGACTGGGACTAAACTTGGCTTGCAGCTGAACCCCTCTCAGGACTGTGCCACTGGACACCTACTATACAAAGCCATACTAATAACACCGAGAGACTTAGGATCTTTGATTAGTACATAGAAACAGACACGGAAAGGCAGCCAAAAAGGGAAGTCAAAGAAGCAAAAGCCATAGAACAGAACAGAACATAGATCAGAGAAAAATGTAACAGAGTCATCTAACAGATGCAGAGTTCAAAACACTGGTTATGAAGATGCTCAATGAACTTAGGGGAAGTGTAGATAAATTCAGTGAGAACTTTAACATAACAGAAAAAATACATAAAAATGGAAATTATAAAAGGGAATGAAGAACACATTATCTGAGATGAAGAGTATATTAGAGGGAATCAACAGAGTGGATAACGAAGAGGATTG